ACTACACAATACCAATACCACTACACAATACCAATACACTAAACAATACCAATACACTACATAATACCAATACCACTACACAATACCAATACACTACACAATACCAATACCACTACCACAATATCAATACACTACACAATACCAATACACTACACAATACCAATACAGTGCACAATACCAATACACTACACAATACCAATACATTACACAATGCCAATACACTACACAATGCCAATACCACTACCACAATACCAATACACTACACAATACCAATACCACTACACAATACCAATACACTACACAATACCAATACACTACACAATACCACTACCACAATACCAAAAGCCTAAATCGTTTCCATCACTTTTTTTATTTAATCACGAAAATCTTTAGTGGTTGGAAAAGTAGATCATTGTGGCAGAAGTTTCTCAAAGCTCTATCTTTTGTTCTCTTGAGAGCTTGAGTTGTATCATTAGCAACAAATGCTGACAATTGTTCTCAAATTGATAAGCACATCTTGTTCATTTTCTAGAACAGCCAAGTTTACCTATATTGTGATCAGCTTGCAACCCAGGCATCAGCGCTTCAGCAAGACAGCCGCCTCCTTCTATAGGAGAAGGTCCAATGCATACTTCCCATTTTTAAAACTCTGTATCCAAGTGTCAGGCTATAACAACCACAGTTTTTACTGGCCTACCAAGGACATTCTTTTGATTTTAGACTTATTCATTTTATTTTGTGTGTATGGATTTTCACCTGCATGTATGTATGTGCGCCGTGTGCATGCCCGGTGCCCTCTAGGTCAGAAATGGGCATCAGATCCCCTGGAAATGGAGTTGCCAATGCTTGTGAACTACCATGTGAGACCTGGAAACTGAACCCAGGTCCTCTGCAAGAGCAACAAGTGTCCATAACTAGTAAGCCATCCCTGCAGCCTCTGTCAAGGACGTTCTTAAGTGGAAATGGCTTTTGTTTTTCTTTATAGGTTTCATGTGGGCTTTCCTAGCTTTGCAGTAAGGCTGGATCATTTTGTCCATCAGTGTTAATGTCTACAGAGGAAGAACTGAACAAATACATAAATAAATGAAAACCATGGTCACAGCATAACCATAAAGATAGATGTGATCCCATCAAAGTGTGAAGACTACCCTTAGAGAAACCTTGCTCTCTTAGATGAAAACTTCTTTTGGGAAAGCCATGCATACTACAGCTAGTTTTAGTAAATATGATAAATACTTAACCAAAAGAAGTTTTTGAAGGTAGCAAAACTTAAGGATTATAAACAAGAGAGAAAGACCTGTCATCCAGGAAATGAGTCATGAGCAAGTGGGGAGGTTAGAATTGAGAAACACTAAGCCATGGGCCACTGTTGGGAATCCCTCCCTAGCCCACCTCCACATTCTTTAGCAATTAGGGTTGTCAGTCACTCCCCTTAGGCCCCGGTGACTGCTTCTCCTAGTTAACTGGGATAGGGACCCGGCTTTCCTAAGCATTTTCTACCCTGCCTTCAAGTCAACACGACAGAGTTCATCATCAGACCACCACAAACATAGAGGCTGATTTTTCATAAACCTGCTACAGTCTGAGACAGCCAGGTTCCATCTTCTGTATACATTACTCCCTATTCAGTTTTCAACTAAAGAAAAGTTTCTGTGACCAAGGTCAGTAAGTATCAAAAGTGTGTACTATTTTCAGCAACACCAAACGTGGCAAGTTTAAAGTAAGGAGACACTTGGTTTTAAATATGAGAACCAGATTGGAATCTAAATCTATGACACAAGGGCTGATTTGAGGTTGGATTTGAGAGATGACAAACTGTAGCGGTGCTAGAAGGCTGCACAGGCACCTGTCTGAGGTATAGCTCTCAGTGTGGAGATGCAGTCCGTCGTGGCAGGGAAGACATAGTGGAATGCGAGGCAGCTGGGTGCATTGTCTCCATAGTCAAGATGCAGTGACAGAGATGAATGCTGATGCTCATCTGGATTTCTCTTTTGTACACAGTACACGGCCCCGACCATCAAGGGAAGAGCAGAGAGTTAAGAACTCTGAAAAGGCTCCTGTGGTCTAAGAAAAAGCATTCAAAGGCAGCGTTAAACACACTGATTGAATATATCTTGTCCAGTTCTCTCTCTTCCTAGCTATCCAACAAGGGTATTTCACTTTTTGAACACTTCATTGTTAAGATAGGCATGGAGCTAGGATTATCAGCACCATAGAACTATGGAAAGACCTAACTTAGTTGATCTAGACAGCGTGTACTATGCCGATTATTGTTATTTGGTGACAGATATCACTTGATGTGTGCAAAAGAAGAGCAGTGGGTGACAGGTGAGAGGCTGGCAGGCTTCTGGCCCTGGTGGTCAGGTGAGGCCATAAATCAAAGAAAAGATGACAGAAAGGCTTAGTGATGCTATTGAGTTCAGCCATAGAAAGATCACACTTATCATTTCAAATATTCTCTTATCCATATTCTACATATAGAATTCGTAGATTTCTCCACATTCACTAGCTTCTGATCGATCTTTTCATCACACTGTTTGGATATATTTGATATGTATGCATTATCTTTGCAGTAAAATAAACATTTTGAGAGGGGGTGGAGTATTTGCTATTATAAGACAATGATTGAAATGATCATGGAGGCTAAGAGGGTCTTTTCATCTAGCTCCATAGACCTCCTGACTACTGCCAACAGAGAAACGTGTGCCCTCCTTCAGGAAGGATACTTTTCTCAGAGCCACTCCAGACCCCCAGACTTCCAAATGACACCCCCCTCTGGCAGCAAGAAGTAGCCAGACAGAAAATGATGGTCCCTATCCTTTACCTGTGAAAGGTCAGGAGTAAAGGAAATCCCCTACCTCGAAACCAGAGCCACAAGCCCAAGGCTTCAAGAAACCAAGCTGCCACCAATGGAATTTCAGAAAGCAGCCACCCACTTCACACACCCTGGAGCCAGAGATGCAAGCACACACCATCTGAGTCATCTCCCACTCTTCAGTTTATCAAAAAAACGAAGGAGGGGGAGGAGGAAGAGGAGGAGAAGCCAGGCCCTTTTCCCTCCTTACTCTCCATGCAAATAATAATAATAATAATAATAATAATAATAATAAAAATAATAATAACAATAATTTTCAGACCTGGCATATTCTCCTGTACCTTTGGATACTGAGCCACAGGGTTTCGGGGTGCCAACCTCTCAGACCAATATAGTCTGCTTTTGCCATTTTGAGGTGGAATCTATCCTTTCATTTTCCTTCATTGACTTATTGTTTACAGCAGCCCTCATAGCCAATGGTATAGTTCTAAGGTCTAAGAAGCAGAGAGACTTGAGAAATTCCAACCTAAAAATCTAGG